TTTACTTATGATGTCATTAGAGTGGTAACAGTTTTGATTGATAAAAAAAATATCATGTGAAAACAGGGCAGGCACTGCGATAATGCACACACTTGCCACTTTACTGCAAACAGGTAGTGTAAGAGGACTCAGTGAATTGCTCCAACAGACGAATTTGGTCATGGATGCAGCTATGGAGTTATACACTGTATATGAAAGTGCTTGGATTTCCTCCCAGTCTGTTCTTGATCTGCTGTACCAATTCAGATTTTTTTTTATGTTTCAGAAATTGTCTGTTTCACTAGGAATCATATTTTTTTAATTTGGTCCTTAACAAAAGTGACTTGGAATTTTTTGGTTTACTATTTCAAGTAGGGATGCACCAATACTTTTCGAGTACCAGTGCCGATACTTGGCATTTTCATGAGAACTACCAGGGTTGCAGCGGTTGCAGCTCTGACCTAGCTCTGGCGCTCCACCACTGTCCTGAAATCATTAGTCGATATTGTTTTAGAAGAACTGTCACATGACACTAAACAAAAATGTATCAGTACTCGTACTTGTAAGTACTCGGAAAGTACCAGTACTCGTGCTCACACAACTGGTATCTGTGCATCCCTTTATTTATATTTATAAAAACAAAATCGTACATTAAAACAGAGATGTAGAAATCCCAGGAGCTCCGTGTGCTCCTTACAAAGGACAGCTGCCTCCTAACTTTTGAATTTTTCTCTAGTCTAGTCTTGGAGCTCAAAAGTATCGGTACATGTACTCGTACTTGTACCGAGTACTGTACTTGGTATCTGTGCAACCCTAATTTCAAGGATATCATTTGCTGGTCTGATGATGACAATTACATGTCCCCAACTTTAAGATTTTTATTTTCATATTAGCAGAGTAATAATAAATATGGCAATAATGCTGCTAGGCAAAAACACTGTAAACACTGTGTAAAAATAGTAGACCCTATCTGTAAAAGAATGACATTTATTTAATGGCTGCGCCACAACTGAAATGTATAGAAAGCATCCAGCATCTTCTTATGTTCTGTTTTGAGTGATAGATATGCAAATAAGTATCTCTATTACTGGAGCTGTCATTCCTCACACCTCATTTACGTGGCATTCCGTCTAAGCAAAGACGGGATATGTTCCTGCTGAAAAGCAGTACAAGAAAGGAAGCGAACAATCTCCACAATATTCTCAGTGTTACTTGGATGCATCCATGTTATATGTACACTGAGCAGCAATTATATTTTCTAAATATATTTTGTAAACTGGTTGTTTGTGAAAGGGATCTTTCTATACTTGGATATCTGGCTCTACTCAATGCAGGCTGTAGCCAAAAATTGTTGGCATGTGATATTTTTAGAATTTATTTGGAATTCTAATATTTTTTACATAAAATGTATATTCATTCATTATTTATATTATTTAGAGTGGAGAAATTCACCCAGCTTTGTTAATAATACAGCAAACCCTACTCACTTCTGCTCCACAGTTGTTTAGCCAAATTTTGCTGTAGTGTAGTCCAGACTGCAGGGGAAACCTGGTATCACAGCTGACCATTCAAATGGAACCCTCTTGTATCACTGTCGGACTTTATTTTACTAAGCTTATGTAAACAGTGTAAACAGTGAGGGTGCGAAATAATCCATTAAGGTAGAGTATCTAAGTCTGGAAAACTCCTGAAAGTAAACTGGTTTACAATAAGGGCAATTCAAATTCAGATTACGAGCTATAATTTAATTTCTGACAAAAGAGGGTTGCACACCTAAGGAAATCCATAATCGGCTAAAGAATGTTTATGGGGGAGATGTAGTGGAATTTTATTTCTCCTTCTTGAAACTTCTTCACCCACTGCCGCACATTGCTAATGTCCACTACAGGGTCCCCATAAACATTCTTTAGCTGATTATAGATTTCCTCAGGTGTGCAAACATCTTTTGCCAGAAATTCAATTACAGCTCATTGTTTTAGTCGCAGATCCATGGTTCTAATCACTCAATCTGAAAAAGAAAAGCATACATTAGTGGGGCAAAGACACCTCTATAACATGGTACATGAGCATTCACAGTCTCTCTAATGGATCTCTGCATTAATTTTGGATTGTTGTGCATTAAAAAAAAATAAGACCTACCCCCAAAATAAGACCTAGTGTGTTTTTTTGAGCCAAAAAAAATATAAGACAGTGTCTTATTTTCGGGGAAACACGGTATATATTTCTCCCAGAGGCTGGGGTATTTCCTTTTTTTTATTTTTTTTTTAGATCAAATAAGTTTTCTCTATCCAGTTTATTGTGTGTTGTTGACTTACTGTTTGCATATATAATACCATACCATTTACTACATATATTTCAATTTGTAACCTTGGCCTTCATGGTCATTTGACATCTGCACCTTTATGGGGTCTTGTACATTTATCCTTATTCAATTGTATTTTTCCTGTTCTTTAACAAAAATGTTAAACGATAAAAAGAAAATAAGTTTGATACTGATGATGATAAGGATGTTACTTATTGTTAAAAAAAACATTTATCAGGGATTAGCATATCAGTTCTAGAATATATTTGATGAAACCGTAAAAAATATGTATAATCACATTCATACCAATGCTAACACATTCAAAGCTCAAACAGATAATGTTTATTAAAAAGACTGTTCAAAAGAATTGTTATTTTTTTCTTTGTAGTGGAGTCGATATTCAGATCTCCAACCACAAAAAAATCACTGCCTACAAATAACAGACCTTGACGATAACTGTTAATAAATTTAATGAGTTTGTTGAGAAATCTGACCTGTCCGACATTGGGAAAGTAAACATTAACCAGAGTGCAGAGTATGTTATTAATCTTATAAATCAAGAGAAGGCAGCAACCCTGGACACCCTCCACACTATCAAGATATTGAAAAAATGTGGAACAAATTGCGATGAGAAACTCACATTTCTTTTTGCCTGAGCTTGCTGTGGAGGTGTGGGGAAAGTATTTAAAGTAGTTGTGGTTGGTTTGGATTTTGCAAAGTGCATTCCCTGTACAAAAAATGTCACTTTTTAAAGTGGTAGATTCCCTTGCAAGGGTTGAGCGCTATTGAGGCCCTGGCATTCAAAGATACCACGTTAATGGTAATGGTCAGTCAATATGGTTGCATGGTGTTGCTAGGCTAAAGAGATTAAAAAAAAGAGAATACTGAGAGTATGGAACATGTAGGTAAGGAACCCTTGACAGTGACACAAAGTCCAATATGCAATATATAGTAGTGTGTATTGCAGCATTATGAATGTATTAAAAGCTTAAGTGAAGTTACATTATTAGACAATCAAAAGGATGGACGTTGTACTAACAACCTCAGTTTTCGTAGGGGTCTATTCACAAAGCAGCTGAAGGATCTGGCCGTAGCTTTGGCCGATCCTTCGGCTAGTTTTGGCCCCAGGACCCCTTTGGTTCAGTAGAACCAAAGGACTGCTGTACGGGCTATTCACCATAGCCCGTACAGCTCCCGAAGTCGGCCGAGCGGCTCAGTCGAGCCGAAGGCATATGCTTCGGCTAGACTGAGCAGAGGTGAAAGTCGAAGCTGGCCGAGCGGGTGGCCATTGGCCGGCCGACAGCCTGCTTCTGGCGGCTGGCTCCGGCCACTTGCAGAGAGATCAGCGTCACTGGTTACCAGCTAACCAGGGACACTGATCTCCAGACAGCCTAACTCTCCCGGGCAGGCGCTCTGGGAGTCTTCCACTCCCGGCCGCCAAGGAGAGAAACACTGCTTTTCCTTTTTTATTCTGACACGGAGCCGTTGGCTGGCGTCAGAATAATAAAAAAAAAAATGTCGCCATAGGAATGCATTGCTGGATTCCTATTGGCTATTTCAATTTACAATAGCAAACTAGCTATTGCACCCGCCCACTGCTGCAGTTCTCCATCAGGTCCCCACTAGTGATTGGCTGCAGCAGAGGGCGGGTGCAATAGCTAGTTTGCTATTGTCTATTGCAAATTGAAATAGCCAATAGGAATCTAGCAATGCATTCCTATAGCGAAATTCTTTTTTTTTTTTTGACGGCAGCTGAACCGCCCGGCCAATAGAAAACAGTCGGGCGCAGCTGTCATTGCTAGCTCCGTACAATCGTTTTCTATTTTTTTTGCTACTTTTTTAACTATTTTTCTGTTCTGCTCGGTCCCACAGAGGGACAGAGCAGAACTGCCGAGCCGAATGCCGCTCTGCGGCATTCGGCTATTTACTCACTGCTGTTCGGCATCTATAAGAATAGACCGAACAGCAGCGAGTAGCCTGCCGGAGGTTCGGCTCAGCCGATCCAGATGTTGGATCGGCTAAGTCGAACTCCTTCTGCACTTCGGGTCGGCCGAACATGAAGCCACACGAAGCCAGCCGATGTACGGCTGATTTCAGACAATATACGGCTGTAATCAGCCGTACAAACCTGAAGTGAATAGCCGAACAGCGTTCGGCTCACTTCACTTCAGGTCGGTCTTTCACTCGGCTGCCTACGGCAGCTTAGTGAATGGACCCCATAGTCTTTCCTACACTTTCCTCTTACAGCAGTTGTTTGTCTAAATATAACTGTGCAGTCAAATAGGCACCAAAGCTTGACCATGCGGCTCAGTGCACTCTGTTATCTAACAGACCTCATCAGAGCCATTTCCTCTATTACTTAACCCTACAGTTCTGTGTAAGGGGGGCATTTGTGATGAGGATGTGGTCTGCACTCATCTATATCAGCACAGAGCACTGGAATAGGAGAGTAGCATGTACTTTCCTACTAAAAATCTGTTAAATGTCATAACACACACCGGTACACAATTAATAAAAATAAAAGGTGTGAGACTTTAATTGAGCATTAATAAATTCTATAGAATTGCATTTTGCAGATTGTTTAATTTCATAATTCAGCTATGCTTTGCTGCCTTTTATTAATTTGCAAATTATAGTATATGCCTATATATCAGGTTTGCACATGTAACTTTATTTGTGATTGGAATGTTAATTCAGTTTTTCTCTGCGTTTTGCAAAGCTCTCGCGGGAGGTCACGAAAATCCCATCATCATCATCACCGACATTCTCGCTCAGTAAGTTCTGAGTCTAGATCTTCAAGCTTTGAAAACAGGTAATAAAACAGTAATAATCAACATCTGACAAACATGTTTGTGCAGTGTTTCTAAACATATAGCCAATATAGAGGTGTAGGTCTTAATGGACTAGATGAAAGCTCTCAACTCCAGATGAACAGCCAAACCCAGCTATAAATATATTAATATTTAAAGGAGAACTATGAGGTGAGTGATTTCCACTCATCCTCATAGCTAGAGCCGATGTGTGACATTGAAACTATCACAGGTTGGCTCTATTGATCGGGAAGTGAGCGAACACATACCGTCGCTCGCTCACTTTCCAATCAGTGAGAACGGTGACTGTCAGTTACCACTCCCCACAGGGATCCCCCCTCCCCTCTCTGATCCTCCAGCACTGACTAGAGGAACGGTTGGGGAAGGGGGCAGGCACAGCTGGCTCTGCCTCTACATAGGCAGAGCCAGCTGTCACTCACGCAGCTTAGTGGATCCAGACAGTATTGTCGGGATCCGTCCCTGCTGCTGCGCTCTCAGTATATCGTGGGCAATGGTCCACCATATACTGAGCTTTGGGTCACGGGAGGAGGACAGTATATATAGAGAACTATGGGGAAACACACTTACCCCCTAGTTCTCTTTTAAGACCAAACAGAACTCCTTTGAAACAGAACATTGTTTTTTTCACTTCAGTCATCCAATTATGTGCAGTCAAATATACTGTTTTTAAGTTTCTCTGCACATGATTAAATGCTGTATTTATAAACAATTTGCAGAGCCATTCAGCCTGAAAAACTCTCTGAATGCTTATTCTGTGCGAATTATTTCAATAACGAATTAAACTAAGCCGAATGTAATATTAGAAAGATAACGCATTAGGGCCCCTAGATGGAGCTGGGGAGCATAGGATAGAAATACTTATTTCCTATGTTTCTCAGCTCTATCTAGTTGAAAATATACTAAAAAACATTCATTTTTGCATCCATTTGCACAGAACAAACGTTCACTGTGTTTCACAGGACAAATGATCTGCACATTCTTTATAAATACACCCCTAAGTGTTCAAATGTGAATGAAGGTAAATATGTGCTCCTTTAGGAATTTATCATCCTCTCATCCTGATTTAGTGTACAGTAACTAAGTTTATATATAAGCTATGCTTGGGAACTATTATAACCTATTATTTAAAAAAAAAATCAAATATTGTGAGATTGTTTATTAAGTGAAGCCTTTATCATTTCTGTTTTTGGACAGATAATTACAGGTACAATTTTTACAGCCTTCATAAAATGCACTGACTGTCAGAAGAAAATGTCACAGACTGAACAGGAGCCTTTAAGTGGCATTGGTGATTTTGCTCTCCTCTGTTTGCATTCTGTTTTATGACAGCTGTTGGGCTGCTCTGTGGAGATGGCAGGTGATTCTCTCTGCATGTGTCCAGTTGTTTTTGCAGACCTGCACATGGGATCCTATACCCCCGTTTCATATAGCAGTCTGGCAACTGTCACAGAGAAGAATATGAAGCTGTGAACACAGGGTCATCCTTCAACAAGACTGCTAAATCAGGAACCTCTTTCTTCTGACACCATCAACAATCCATACGATAATGACAGCCATTTCTTGGAAACTGCTGGAACAGTTTAAAACAACAGTACCACAATTGTGGGAGAGCATTCTAATGCCTCAGAATCTTCAACATGTAAAATTGCAGTTTTCAAGCTGAACTTTAGACAGATTAAAAAACACAATTTAATTCAGATATGTAGTCAATCGAAAAAAAAGTATATTTACATAGGACTACCAAATTGATCTGATTTTGTCTTATATATGCTTCTTGTAATCTACTGCACCGTAGAAAATTAGACTAGAACAGGGAGGGACAGCCTCTGAGCAAATCATGGAGAGAGCAAAAGGATGACCTCATCAATGCTGCAGTCTAATGACAGCCTTGGTGGATTCCAGGATGAGGCTGTATTGCCTAACAACAACATGGTCTGCAGCAATGTCCAGGATCTTGCTGTGCTTTCTGTCCTTTGAAAGATAGATCAGTTCAATGTATTTAGCTGCTTTTGTGAGGTTCATATTGAATAATTGCTATCTATTTAGCAAAAAATATTTAATATAATAAATGCATATTTTGTAATAACAAAATTTCAGCATACTATACAAGAGTAACAGGAATTTTCTTTTCATAAACAGAACTTCAGGCTCTCTGTCTTATTAAACAAGGGGGTGATGTACAAAAGCTAACGCATTTTGCATAGCCCACAGCAACAAAATGAACGTTTTTAATAGAAAAATGACCACTGGAATTTGATTGGTATACTACACAGGGCAAAAATGTCCAGCTCGGCAAAGACAATTTTTATAATGGTTGAGGCTCGGGTTCACCGCTACCATGGGTTCAATGTTTTCCTGCTGAATTTAGGTGCATAGTCGCCCAGGAGAATATTTTTAAGCCATTAAGTACTACCTGACCTTTGAACTATGGCCAGTAGACTTAATAAGACCAATAATGGGGTTTTTGGTTAAGTCAACCCTTTCACTATAACAGAAGGACTCAGAGCAGCCATAATGTCAAATAATATGCTGCTGTTGCAGGGAAAGGTGACAATGTGCATAGGGAGAAATCCGAGTCAGTTAGAAAATGTGCTTTATTTCTGATTGCTAGCTGTTTGGGCAATGATCTCCTTTGTGCGTTTTTGTTCTTATAATTGTGGGCATTTTTGTATTTCATCTTATTTTGTGGTTGATTTGAGGTCAGTGGCTGCAGTCACTTCCAGTGCAAACTTTTTTGTATCTACAAGATTTAATTTATTTTGTTTCAGCAGTTTTATGTTTGTTTTTTTAATGTTTGGGGGTATATTGCTTTTAATTTGATAAGGCCTGTATTGTTGGTTAAGTTGCCTTTTTTTTCCTTCAGGAAATATTTTGTGTTTTTTTTTTTTTTTTATGTTGAGGGCCTTTTCTAAGCTTGGGATGCTCAAAGCAGAGTCTTCCCACAGAAACAGTACAAGAACAGTGTGCACCTAAACCACCTCACATTATATCACTCACATTCACCACACCCCCCTTCCCTCATAGAATTAAAGTTCGGCATACATCAGTTAGGTCTACTATCCCTAATTAAAACTGTCCTACTGCTGCCCAATCATCTTCAGTCTACTAATTCTTGTAGTATAACACCTTTCTGTACTCTTTTTCTTTAGTAACTTTTGGCTAATTCTTACACATTAGAAATGTCCTGATACTGGCCAATTTTACACTGTTGTATAATCTGCAGTATCTGAATATTTAATGAGAGCTTGACAATTTTGCATAAGTGAGAACAGGGACAGCCACAGTTAACTACTAGCCAATCTGCATCTGCCAGCCAAAGAGCGTCTATTAACATTAAAAAAAAAAATACATGTCACTGCTACCCGAAAAAACTCTTTTGGCAAATCAAAGACAGGCAGATTCACCTATCGCTACTTCTCAGATATTTGGGTATTCATAAGGGTACAGCTTTTCTCAGCCATGACACACCTCGGTGGTTCATCCCTTGTTTTTTCACTCACCTGCTCCATAATACTATGAAGACTGAAGTAAGTGGAATCACTACTTGGCAAGCTAGATATGATGCAGAAAGCAATAGAGCTCAGATCTTTAGGAGCTTTACTATTTGGTATACCCATGCTCTTTAACAAGCTTTAGGTTAATTAGCATTGTCTCTTCCAGTCTTTAATTTTTTTGTTATCCTTTTATTTTAGACCACGGGTGCAGTCTAGAGAAAAAAAACATCAATCAAGAAGAAAAAAACACAAATATCATCATTCTAGGTCTGTAAATAAGAAGCAGAAAGAAGCCCCCCCTCTGTCTACACAAAACAGCACGTACTCCACCAAGTTGACAGTAAGTAGAACTTCAATTAAGAACAGCAGGGTCCCTTTCTACTTGTGTACTACGTAAAGGAATGGATGCAGCTTACTAAAGTTGTTCAGTTTTAGTGCTGGATGGGTCTGAAAAAAATTACAATATAATTAGTGCATTTATCATATGTGCTAGATGGTCCAGTGGCATAGTATCTTTCCATGACAGATTATATTTTGAAGATATGGAAACATAAACTATCATTTGCCAGTTTCATAAGAAGTATTCCTTAACCATTATTTTACAAAAAGTGGTGTATCTGGAGGTCAAAAAAATACATTAGATTTAAAAGTATCATTTTCAGATTTTTTTGAGAAGTATAAATACAACAGATGATCTGCTGTCATAAATTTACAGACACGTACACATTCTGACCAGATTAGGTAGACAAATTCATACCAGTGTATGTTCTAGATTGTTGCAGGTGTCTATAACAAAGTCAGAAACCCACAGGAAACACATGTAGACTCCGTGTGAGTTGGTTGCGTCATGGATTCAATCCTATGATTTCAATAGAGCAATGCTGAGCAAGGCTGACCACTGCCTCACTGTGATTTCATACGTTTGCAACACTGATATTCATTTCTGTTCTGTAGGAGTACAAAGCAGACCACAAATATTTTGAAGTGAATTTGAGTATTTCTGTAATAAAGTAAAGTAAAAATAATCAAAATGGAATTTAGCACAGTATTTAAAGTGCTTTAAAGTGGATAAACGATAGCAAATAAATGAAAAATTATTATTGATATTGTAATATAGGAGTACAGGTTACAATAAGCAAAGTAAGAGAGTATAGGTTCACTAGTGTAGTGTGATAAAACGAATATAGGTGACTACTTATCCCTGACTGGTCAGTGACTACTCATTCCATGACTTCATGACTTCATAGGTGATTGTAACCATTTCACCCTGAGGCCATTTAAGAACATCAGATATACGGCTGTTATATTATATCCACAAAATGCGACATGCATTGTTCTGCTCATCCTAATACTACAATAGGCCATCTGCCAGAAACGTTCCTTCATTGTGGAATAAATACCCTCCTTCTCACTTTGTGGTACAAGCATATATTTGTTTTAGGCAATAGAGCACTATACTCTTTCTGTTTTACTAAACTTATAAATATTGAAAAACTAGCTTTTGAGTTTATGACATCTTATTAAATATGAAGGCAGTGGCAACAGCTGCTGTTATAACAGCTGTCACATACTTATTTAAATGACCATGGAATATAACACTGAGGTAGTTTAATAAATAAATAATTAAAACCCCCGGTTATATTAACATTGCAGTTTAAATATGGATTGTTTTTATGTTTATATGTGTAAAAGTGCCCAGAAAATAATTGTCCTCTCCAGATTACATTATGTCTACTGTACCCTTTAAACATTATATTGTAAAGCGCTGCACAAACTGTTGGCGCTTTATAAATCCTGTATAATAATAATAATAATAATAATAATACACAGTTCTTAAAGGATAAGTGCATTTCAAAACAAAGTGCACTTATCCTTTAGGCCCCTTAGGGAGCCATTACTGCTCCATACCTCCCCATGCAGAGATGTTTACTTACCAAGCTTGGATGGGCCCAGCCTCCGTTGTTTATTGAACTCGTCTGTGAAGTTCATTCCTATTGACTTTTATGGGGCTCATCTACCTCCAGGAAAATGATGGAGGATGAGTGCACCTACCCTTTAATTTATTTTTAGATATGGACTAGTAAAGGAGCCTGTGTATTCTGTAACATTAATACAGAGTCTGCACATGCTTCACATGAACTTCATACTCCTCCATCTGCTGCTTTCTATAGCAGATGGATGCGTGCAGTAGTGGGAATCTCACAATGGCTCTTTTCCATATGGGTCTAATGTTATCCAGATGAGCTCATGCGGTAGCAGTTTTACCTCTGCTCTTTTGGTTTTGGCACTTTATATTGGCTCAGTAGTAATCTTGCAGGTAACACTATTGTGTTGCATCATTGCAGTCCTGTGCACAAACCTCACCAGATCTATTTTTGCATGGAATCTGTATGGCCTCCCCTAGACTTCTAGGTTTCTCCCACTATCCAAAACATACTGGAAGATTAATTAGATCAATTAGCCTAAAAGTGTGATTGTGTATACATATATACAGTGTGTGTGTATGTATGTTTTCTTTATTCTATTTTGTGACAAAGGCAAAATATTTTTTTTTTACCATAGCCATCTAGGTGAGTTTGATGAAAAGCTGAGAAGGGCAGGCACACAAAAGCCAAAATACACATAAAGGCTGGCCATACACCAATCAATTTTTTCGTTCAACCCTGCGGACTGAACGAAAAAAAATGGTGCGATTCCTCCATTAATACAAACAGCATTTCAATTGAGGAATCGCCACTGTTTGCATTGTATTCTGACAGGTGCCGATGGCTGATCGTATGAAGATTTTCCAGCCGGCTCCTTCAATCAGCTGATCGAGGAATGCCGGCTAAAAGGGAGCCGACAGCCCCACACACTGTGCAAATTTCAGCCAGTACATTAAAAAATAGACGAAATTTGGCCAGTGTATGAACACCTTTAGAAAAACATGATATGTAAACCATTAATCAGCCAATGAATTTGTAGATATTCTGGGAAAACTGATAGTACACTATCAGGGTCACAATCACTTATAGCCATAGTACCTGTAAATGTTTACATAATGCTGTACGTCTTTGCAGATAATCACTGCTACATACAGCTCTAACTGCTCCCATCACAGAAGTTGCCTCATGTGAGACTACACCGTACTGACCTGAGAAGGCCCAAGAAAAGCTTCAAGATAGCCCAGGAAGGTTTGAAGTCTGTGGCCCACCAAAGGGAACTCTTAGCCAGACTGATCAGCCATCTTTAATCATGACCACTATAGGATTAAGCAGTCTGAAAATAATGGTGAAGAAAATAGTAGCATCGCTGGAAATCAGACATATCGTTTGGCTTGAATTACTATGCAAATTTTACAGATTGCTGCAACATGCTTTTGCACATAATTACTTACCATTGTTATATACAATGCATTGTAACTACTAGCAGCGAGCCTGGTTTATTTGATGTGATACATGTATAATCAACAGACGGAAAAGTGTCTGCCTACTCCCTACAATGCTAAGCAGGATTCTCAAGCAGTTAGGGGTGATTTGAGAGATAAAAATAAATGACACTTTAAATGCCAGCGTGGGTTATCAATTTCCCTCTCCCTGATTAAATGAATTGCAGACTGTGTCTATAAAAGAATTCCCCGGAGGGTAAATTTAGCTGAATGAAATACCAAGTTGCTTTCATTAGGTTTATTTCATTAAACACTATGTAACCATCAATGTCTTACACTGTGCACATTAAGGCTCTTTACTGTTGAATGTTTAGAGGGAGGCAGCCTTTATGTACTTTCTGGAGTGTATAAGCTCCCTGCTGGGGTTTACAACATGCAGAGCTAGCTTTTATCATAGCACCATTACTACTGTTGCCCATTCAATGTCAATGCACCCTAAAACACCAGAAGCATGCAGACTTTCCAGGCATTAAAGCTGCACTTTAATCTGTAGCCCCAAATGTTTACTTTGTTCTTCCTCATTATTAAATGTTTACTTGTGGCACTTAAGCGTATAAATTATATATATACATGTGTGTGTGCTTCAGTTTAGAAATACAGAACTATGTAAAAGATCAGAAATACAAGCATGTATTTAAAAATTCCATATTTACTTTGTCCTTGCCAGAGTACAGAATCAAATGTTCTGTTATCTGCAATTTCAGACTAAAATCTGTGTGGGATATCTAACCTACATCCCAACTGTCCTTCAGTCCCTCATTTGGAACCAAATCCCACTGTCCCTCTTTCCTCCTCAGTGGTCCCTCTTTTTGGCCTGATGTACAGATATCTATGAAAAGGTTTTATTTAACTACCAAACATATTATTCTGCACTAAAACCTTTAACTTATCTCTGAATTATCTTGTTTACGATTTCAAAAAGCCAAAATAAAGGAAAAGGAATCGTGAAAATACACAATTCTGTGTGCACCCAATAATTTTTGGCATATTCGGAATGGTCCGTATAACTAGGGACGGGACAGGGATGTGTCTATTGAATAAATACATTGTGCTGGAGGCTTCCCCCACTTTCTTATTTCAGAAAGTTAGAAGGTATGATCTAAAATATCCAACTTTAATGTGTATGTAACCTCTAGCAATGCATTTATCTAATTTGATCCATTTTAGTCTGTTAAATATACCACGGAAAGCAATTATATCTGTTTAATAAGTGCAAACAAAATCTTTATATCCTACCAGAAATCATTTAAGCTTATAACTTCCTGTGCTCTCTACCTGTGTCATGCCCTTAGCAGTTATCATTGTTCCAGCTCTTTCTTTGGACTGCATATCACTTTCCCCAATGTTTATGCAGAAGAGGATATGTGGAAGGGTTCTTTAGTCTTAACATACTTCCTGTCCTAGGATGACAACATTGATTTTCCATAGATACAGTATGGTGATTAAGCATTGTTACCCTTGGACAAGAAGTGTGTTGCTGGCAGGATTACCAAGTAAAAAAAGGAACTAAGCCTGATAAAAATAAAACAAATGCAGCCACCCCATCTAAGGACTGGTAAGCTGCAATATATTACTTTTTTGTTCTTGGATTCAGATATTTCGGGTTACTTACAAAGTAATTGGGGTCCAAGAAAAAATATTTGAAATACCTAGCAATTACCAACAGTTCAATCAGCTAAGAGTTATTTTTCTATCTGTGAAGCCATCAGGGAAAATCTATACAATATCAATAACCGAAGGGGTCCTGGGGCCGAAGCTAGCCGAAGGATCGGCCGAAGCTACGGCCAGATCCTTCGGCAGCTTTGTGAATAGACCCCTAGATGTTAGTAACCTTTCCATATAAAACCACTATATTAGAATCAGTACTATACGTTTTCTAAATTGACTTCACCTACACACATAGCTGCCATCTC